CTTTAAACTGGGTGCATGATGTCTTTCTTTTAATCTGCTTTTCTCTTGTTTGTGTCTATTGTCTGTACCCTCCCTTCCTTATTTTATGTAAGCCGCCCTGAGTCCCCTCAGGGAAAAGGGCGGCCTATAAATACTAATAAAATCCAAAAATCCAAATCCAAATGCACACAGCTTCAAACAAGGCGATTATATAGGATGGGATAGTGCCAGGGTAGGTGGGTTGGGCTCTCTCTCTCTCTCTCTCTCTCTCCCCCCCCCCTATGGTCCTATCCATTAAACCATCTTTCCAAGCAGTCTCCATGTTCCCAGTGTCTTTCTCCCCACTTGGAACTGAACCGAGATGGACATTTCTTCCAACAAGAGAAAGGGATCTTAAATATCAATGAACTAATTCGTAATACCTTGCATCTTTAACATGAATTGGATGCAAATAGACAATGCCCAATTGAGCTGATGACCCAGTTGAAGTAGATTGATTTGGATGGAGGCAGACAATGGTGAATCCTCTGTTATAACAAGACTGGCTATCTTGAGAGAAGAACAATAGAGTCTGTCTTGAAGAGACCCTTCCATATGTTATTGATTGGTTGATTGGTTTATTCATTATTTTAGAGGTCAGCCAACTTCAAATGACTTAAAAATTAAGAAACAGATCGCACACATCCAGGAGAGAGAAACATATATAACAGCAGAAACAGGCAAAAACGTTACAGGGGCTAGATCTGTAATGGCGAAGCTAGGGTACACGTGCTCCAGGTGACATGTAGAGCTCGCTCTCTGGGCACGCCAGCGGTTGCTCCAGCCCAGCTGCACCATGCATGTGCGCATGCCTCCCGCCAGTCTTGAGTCTCTGCCATGTATGCGTGGGGCAGGATGCATGCACAGGGGATAGGGCGCATGCACGGGGAATGGGGTGCATGCGTGGGGGATTGCATGCACAGGGAACGCTAGCATTTTGGGGGTTTACCTTTGTTGGTGCAGCTGTGCAAGATTCCACCACAAGACACTAGCCTGCTGCCACTGTCTCTTTGATTTATCTGGTTCATTAGATAAATGTTATTGAAAACATGGAACTTAAATCTATACCTTTTTCAGCAAAAGCTAAGTCAGATAAATTTATCTTTAGATTATTCCATATAGAGGAAATGCAAAAACAGTTGTAAAATTTACAGCTTTCAAGTTTTAAAACAAGATTGAATGTTGGACAGCAATGATGTAACATGAGACATATCATAGCACAGTTCCACATAAGTACAAGCTATCTTCAATGAACGCTTCAATAACTTTATGTGCAATCAGAGAAATATGCTAAAACATAAGAATATTAAAAAGCCATGGACATAGTCCCAACAAATTTATTTTGATTAAAGTAATTGTATATTATTTTTTACTGATTGTCAAGCGGAAATTATGTTGATACATATATTTTATAAATGTTTATAGTTTTTATTTTTTTCAGTGAATTAACAGAAATGGATTCTGATGAAGATTTGGAGGCATTAGTAGATAAAAAGAGTGAGGCAAGTTATGAAAAATATTTTAAAATACATTATTTTCTAACTGATTTATTAATGATTACATAAAATTGTCCTTTAGATAATTTGTTATATTAAATATTGAGAAATAAGCATGTGATTATATTCATTGTTTGGGCTTTGTATCCTTACAGATAAACTTTTATAACAATTTCCTTTTTTTTTTCAGAAAGAGAAAGTTCAGGAAAGACTTGCAAAGAAAAAAAATTCTTTACCTAAAGAAAGTATTAGAAATCAGGTACTTTTGTCCATATTGAAATAGAATATAGTATATTCTTTAGAATTTTGGATAGTCTTCAGAAATTGCTTTTTAAAAAATGCCTCTATGTTGACAACTTGCTTTGAACTAAAGAAAAGATTATTTGAAAAATATTACATTAAATATACACCAATTTGTACCCTGAAGTTAATCACAAAACAACAAAAACAGTACAGGTTATATTTAGGTTTCTTCCAGGTGTAGAATAGTTAAAAACAGGAAGCAGGGAGGAACAACAATGGATAACTTTTATGCTAGAGCAGGGGTGTCAAACTGGCAGCCCATGGGCCAAATGTGTCATAGCAATAGCAATAGCAGTTAGACTTATATACCGCTTCATAGGGCTTTCAGCCCTCTCTAAGCGGTTTACAGAGTCAGCATATCACCCCCNGGCTTAGTCGAGCGCGGTTTTGACGGGTCACGATTGCTTTGTTACCTAAACAAAATCTCTTTAAAAACAAGTGTCCTGAAATATGTGGCTCTCATGCACTGCAGTGGTGGGATTAAATTTTTTTAACTATCGGTTCTGTCGCCGTGGCTTGGTGGGCGTGACAGGGGAAGGATACTGCAAAATCGCCATTCCCTCCTGATCACCTGGGACTCGGGGAGCAGAGAATAGATGAGGGCGGAGCCAGTCAGAGATGGTATTTACCGGTTCTCCGAACCACTCAAAATTTCTGCTACCGGTTCTCCAGAACTGGTCAGAACCTGCTGTATACCACCTCTGGTGCACTGGCCATAAACAATAACGGTTTTGTAAAACACCCCTCTGTATTGTCCCATTCCCTGAAACAATTTGCTAAAGGACTAAAATTATCTTCAAAACTTTTGGCCAGAACCTAAAAAAATTACCTTGTTTTCTTTGTAGTTTCTCAGATCCGCTATACAGTATTCTTTGAATAATTTATCATAGTATTTCTTGCTCAGCCTCTTCTCCCTGAAAGATAGAATGATTGATTGAGCAGAAGAAAAAATACAAAAGGGACAGAAAGAGGTATTCAGCTTTTAACAAGGGATAGGCAGAAACGCCAAGTTTGTTTGCCATTAAGTATTACTTGCAACAGAAAATTTTAAAAAATGGTTGGCATTTATTGTTCAAGTAGCTTGCGATTACTTGGGGGGGGGAGGCAATATGGTATAGTGCAGTGTTGTCCAACCTTTCTGGCTTTGCAGACTGGTTGGAGGGGGATCGGGAGAGAAGGGATGGTTGGCGTGTGAGTGGCGGGCTGAGGGCGCGCGTGCAGCTCCATTTGCAAGCGGCAGGCACGTGGAGCTTCGCAAACGCTCACACATCACTTCCACAGCACAGCACATAGTGGGACACGCCCTGGGAGTTGGGGACCATGTTGTCTGCTTTGCTGCTGCTTCGGCTGCCATTGAAACGGGGAGGGGGGGCATGGTATTTGGGAGGGGATTACTAATTGTGCTGGAGGAAGGTCCTGGAGTTTGCTGCCTGTCTTGCTGCATTGCTGCGCATGCGGAGGAGGTTTCCCGCCAAGGCCAACGGCACCGACATTCCATCTGGATGATGCCTTT